AAGTATTTTCATTCAATTTGTGATAAATATGAAGCATAGTTTAGGTTTAAGAAAAACAAAATCTGCCAAACTATTGTCACCTTAAAATATATCACAGGTAATTCTGGACTTTTGGATTTAAAGCCATACATTTATGGCAGTTTGGTAAAGCAGCAATAGGAAATAAATACAGGTACTCAATCTCATTTTTATTTTCATGAGTTTAAAAATCCATTAGAAATAATCCAATTCATATTCACTCCTCATATAAAATGTAATTAAATTCATACTTTGCACATAATTATCTTAATTTTTTAAACTTATATTTTCATGGAGGTAGGAAGGATTTCAGAAGTATTTATGAAAACTTTTAGGATCACTTGAGTCTTCAGAAACATTTTCACGGCAGATTCACCCAACTTAGTATGACTTTGTAAGACCTTTCCAAAACCATGAAATAGTTGACTGTGAATCCTTATCATCATGAAGAAAGTTCCATATGCAGACAACTAGAAATTTTTATTTGTAGATATACTAATATTGCAACAATGTAAAAACAATTTGTTCAGGATCTTAGCCAGGAAATTCTGGCTCTCACTTACTCTTTTCTTGAATGGAAATCACAGCCTGTAGGCCTCTGAGCTGTTTAAGCAATGGACATCAACCTTCTCTAGAGAGCCGTCTTTCACATCAAGTAGACAGCCTGGGACCTTCATATAGATGTGTTTTAGAGAAACTCAGAAATTAGATCTCCTTGTTGTAGAACCGTAAGTCTAAGTTGAATTACTCCTAAGTTAAAATTAAAGCATTCCTTTCCTTTAATTACCCAATTAAAAACTATAAACAATTTCTGGGACAACTGAAGCAATAAACCCACAGAAGTCAACTTTTATGTGTTGGAGAGCAAGAATGAGTTTCCAGGTTGGAAATCAATGGAAGAATGAAAAATATCACTAGGAAAAAAAAGACATGCTTTGGAGAATCAGGGCCTGCTCCTATAATGAATACAATGGTTGGGCCAGCCTCCCACTAACTACAAAGGATGTGTACTGTGGAATGTAATTTTTCTTTAGGAACTTGTGAATTTAAAAGTCTAAATATAAATACAACTTATAATTACAAAAATGTAGTTTATAAAATATGGCTCACTGACATTCACACTCCTCCTTTCATGGGGTAATTTTCCTTTAAAAAATGAGTTTTTTAGTCGAAATGCCTTTAGTTCTTCATGTCATGGACTTTACCTTTATCTCCTCCCTTTGAAAAATTGTGTGAGTGTATTTATTTATACACACACACACATATATAAGTGGAAAATAATATAAACCACACAGATTATTTAAATTCATATGTGTATTCAAATAATTCTCAATAAGTCTTAGTTTTATTCTTTTGTTCTGTTACTATTAAAGATGAGACTGGCATAAAGGGTAAGTTTGCATTAAGAAAAAAATAGTTGCTAAGTTTCCCTTTTCTCCCTGGTAGGCTGGCCTGTTGCATTTCCGATAAACCATAGTTATCATGTGTTTAATGGATTTCCTTCTGGCAAGCTAACATCTCTTTGTTTAAAACTATTCACTGTTTTTAGTTGAGACTGGCAGTTGATCACAGCTTTAGTGAAGCAAAAGAATTGTGTCCTATTCTTTCATCCCTTCCTGCTATTTTGAAACGGAATAATAGGCCTGTCACTTAGAAATTAGATAAATAATAGCTGTTGAGTTTATTGTTTTTGAAGCTCATTGTTTTGCACTACCTTTACAATGTCTATTAAAAAGCCAATCAACATCTGTTGAATAGAAAATATAAATTCTTGATAGAAAAATAATTGAATGCTGAGACAGAAGAACATAGATATAAAAAATACATTGCCTTTAATTCCTTTTCCTATTTCCAAAGTTCACAATCTGCTGGGAGATATTTGTTAGAATGATATATGTGTTTAATTTCAGCCAAATAAGCTATTCAGGGTTTGAGATCTTAAGCATACTTCGTGCATTACTACTCTACAAATTAGTTGTGATCTATAGTTTCACTCTTCTTTTAGAGAAACATAAGTTTGTCTTTTTATTCTTTGATTTACATTATTGATCTGGGACCAGCTTAATTCTCATGTAACCACATGTATCTTCATTATGTCGCTGGAAGCACTGGGCACCTTGCTTCTCTGTCGCTTTGGCGCTTTCATCAGCCTTTTGCCTCGTGTGCTTCCAGCCAGGCAGCAACTGAAGATCAATGTGGAGAATAACAAGGACCTCTCTGGGCTGTAAAACGTCTTCTCTTGAGTACCATAGCTACATTTGTTCCATGAAAAGGAATTTATGAATACTGCTGCTGCATTTTTATGACTCCGTAAGCTAGCTTTAAGGCTTGGAGCAGATAATTTACAACACTTCTGTTTTGCTAAATCCCCAGCCCTGCCACAATTTTTGTCTCTGTTTGTGACTTGCACCTAACTAAACAAGTACATGTCAGTTATAAGCATCTCCAAAACACTTCCTGTGATAGGTTATTCATTTGCTTAAAGAGTTGACAATGAATGAATGAATAAGTGAAATAATGAGCTGGGCAAACACTGTTCCAAAACATGGCAGGTACTACTGGTATACACTTAACATTGTCAAAAATACAGAACATTTGGAGAAATTTAGCTGTTTGTGATGCAGATTAATAAACCCATTATCAAAGGCAGAGGACAAGGTTTGACCTCAATGTGTGCCATCTTAACTGGATGGTTTTGTACAGGTCACTTAATTTCTCTACTTTATTATTTGAAGAAAAAAGGATGTATCAATTATACCTACCTTAAAATATTACTCAGCATTGACAGAGATCACTGTTACAACTGAAGGGACTCAATTCTGAGTCCAGTTATATTGAGCAAATTTGGGCGATGTCAAAGACACGTTCAGTAGGAAGAGTGGCACATGATAACTCACTCATAAAGTAGAAATGGGGTTGTCGACAGCATGCTATGTGGAAGGAGGGAGTTCAGGGAAAGTCACCACATACACAAGCAGATTGCTTTACTCCCTGTGGAGTCGGTAATGAAGCCCTCTGAGTACCTCCCTACTCCCACTGCTGTGTGGGCCAAGCCCAGGGCTCTCTGGCTTTTAGACAATACAGGATGCTTGCTTTACTTATGCGAGTTTATGTATGGAGGACCATTTTACAAGAAAAATCAGCATCAAGGTGCCCTGCAGGTGATAGAACCTTGATGAAAGAAGGCAAGGGCAAGCCTGAATAATGAGAGAAGTTGAACTGTTTATCAGTGGAAGAATAGTTAGGTTCCTGCCATCAAGGAAGTGTATGGATAATTAAGCAATCTTGGGTTTTAGCCAATGGCTTTGCTGTATGGGTAGGCAAAGTCGACCCTAGGTAATTGCACAATACAACTCCCTTTTTGGGCCAGTTATGGAAATGTCTGTGAGAATTTTGAAGAAGAATTAGGATGAAGCCCACAGAGAAAACTCAGTTGTCAGCTCAAAAGCAATCGAAATGCTAAGGCAAATGCTTAGTCAGATCCTTAGTGCTAGCTGTACCTGACTTCATGAAATGAGTAGGCATATTGGTGCTAGATCGACCATATGGGGAGAGTATGTTTAGTTTTGTAAGAAACCGCCAAACTGTTTCCAGGGTGGCTGTACCATTTTGCGTTCTCACCAGCAGTGAACAAGTGTTCCTGTTTCTCCTCATCCTCTCTAGCATTTAGTGGTATCACTGTTCTGGATTTTGATTTGTAGTGGTATTTAGTTGCTGTTTTAATTGGCAGGTCTCTGATGACATACAATGTGGAGCATCTTTTCACATGATTATTTGCCATCTATATATATTCTTTGGTGAGGTGTTTCTTAGGGTCTTTGGCCCATTATTTAATTGAGTTGCTTGTATTCTCATTGTTGAGTTTTAAGAGTTCTTTGTATGTTTTGGATAACAGTTCTTTATCAGATGTGACCTTTAGAAATATTTCCTCCAAGACTGTGGCTTGTGTTCTCATTCTCTACTTTTTTTTTTTACAGAATAGAAGTTTTTAATTTTAATAAAATTCAGATTTATAAATCTTTTTTCATGGATCATGCCTTTGGCATTGGTATTGAAAAAGTCTTTATCATACCAAAGGACATCTAGGTTTTTTCTTATGTTATCTTCTGGAATTTTTGTAGTTTTGCATTTTACATTTAGGTCTGTGTTCCATTCTGAGTTAATTTTATTGAAGTGCGTGAATTCTCTGTCTAGATTCATTTTTTGCATGTGGATGTCTAGTTGTTCCAGCACCACTTGTTGAAGAGACTGTCTTTGTTCCGTTGGATTGCCTTCCCTCCTTTGTCAAAGACCAGTTGACTATATTTATGTGGGTGTATTTCTGGGCTCCCTATCTTGTTCCATTGATCCATTTGTCTATTCTTTTACCAATACCATACTTTCTTGATTACTGTAGCTTTATAGTAAGTCTTGAAGTCAAGTAAAATCAGTCTTCCAGCTTTGTTCTTATCCTTCAATACTGTGTTGGCTATTCGGGGTCTTCACCTCTCTTACAAATGTTTAGCATCAGTTTCTCAATATCCATGAGATAACCTGCTGTGACTTTTACTGGAGTTCACTGAGTCTATAAATCAAGTTGAGAAGAACTGACGTCTTGACAATATTGAGACTTCCTATCCATAAACATGTAGTATCTCTCAATTTATTTAGTTCTTTCATTTTATTCATCAAAGTTTTATAGTTTTCCTTATCTAGATCTTGGACATATTTGTTAGATACAAACCTAACAAGTATTTCATTTTTTTTAGTGATAATGTAAATGTTTATTTTTTTTAATTTCAAATTCCACTTGTTCATTGCTAGTGTATAGGAAAGGCAATGACATTTTCAGGAGCCTTAAGCACTCTGAAGAACTGGGTACTAAATCTTGCCTTAGAGATGACGGTTAATCATGACTTTCAAACTCTTGAATCAAATTAGCATGTTAACCTGAAACAAGCTTTTAATTACTTGTTTATTAAAATATGCTGAATTAATTGTACCTTTTCTTTTGCATCTGCACTATATTTTAAAATACCGTTCCACTATCAATTATATGTACTAAGATAATCAGTAATTTTTGAAGATAAATTTAACTCTTATAAATGAATTATTTTATGCTGATTTCATTTTGTATCATATTTTTTAATTCATACGTATATTCAAATACATACAAATTAGATCTTTGCAGCGTACTCTATGAAATTTGTGTGAATACAACCCAATTGTTAGGTACATTAGCAAGTACCAATGTTACTATGCAATTGAATGAAGCTAGCAGGCACTTTTAAAGTTAATTAAATTAACCTGCTATTTTTTTATATACTAAATATATTTTTATTGAAGTACAGTCAGTTTACCACATTGTAACCTGCTAGGTTTTTTTTGTTTGTTTGTTTTAGAAAACATGGCCTCACAAGTACAAATTGAGTTATTCATTCTTCTAGGTTCATAACATTTTATCTTTGTTGCCCATTTGTTGCTAGCTTTTGGTTTTGTATTTTATTTTTCCATTAACCACCCCTCCATTCTCCTTTCAATAGTATACATGCTTGTTTTAATGTATATTTTCCACATATTTATTTAAATACTTACATCAGTGAAATAATAGCCATTTAGTTTTAAGTTTAGCCAAATGATATGTCAGTAAATCTTAGTGTTAGCTTTTTATTATATTGTTGTTTAACCATCTTTTTCAGATCTAACCATGTTTCTCTCCTGACCACTGCATGACAGAGTCTATCTCCAGCTGTTTCGTAGTATAAACAATGCTAACATAAATCATCTTGTAAAGTTCTCCTTCTATATATGTATAAGACCTAGAGCGATGAGATGATTTACTTTTATCAAAAAGTGCCTATTTCCATTCAAAAATCACTGATACCACTGGGTGAATATTCCCTTTTCTCACTTTCTTACCTGCATTCAAAGTCATGTGATTTAATAAATACCATGTGATGCTTATTTTCTGTCAACTCCCCTCCACCCCCACCACACCCATATTTACTTAAGAACCTATGGAAGAAGAGGAGATTAAGATTATTCAGCCTGAGCAGATGTTGCTGCTTACCTGTCTTCAGTCACAGGCTGAGAACTCTGGTCTACAGTAGGGATAAGGAAGAGTTGATTAGGCCAAGAGGAAACCTGGGAGACTTCAGGCCCGCCGTCAACCTCAGGTGGACTAGCAATCAATTCAGCAGTTGAGGAAGTCCATCCACCCTGACATTTTTGCTTGGCTACAGCTTTTTCAGCAACAACCTACTTTTTCTTTTTTAAGTTCCTTATTATAGCTGATGCAGGAAAAATGGATGTGGGGCATGAGGAAGGCTGTGTCCCAGGCTTTGGTTGAGGCCCTGGGACGTGCCCCGCCAAGTGTGGGTCCGTGGCTTCACGCAGGAAAGAATT